TCCGCTTCCCATCTGTAAAAGGTCCACCTCCTTGTATCGTCTGTCTTTTGTTTTTCTCTTTAAATTATTTATACTTTGGTTTTCTCACGAGAGCAACCATTAATATTTAACCTTCTGTGTCCGATTTATTCCACTTAATATTCTGCTCTCAAGGTGCATCTATTTTCCTACAAATGATTTAAAAGTATCATTTTTACGGCAGAGTAGTACTCCATTGCATCTCATGCTTGGAATTTCGACAACGGGACCTTCAGCCCCCTTCCCGGGACCTGACTCACCACCCTCCCGGTCCACCACGTACAGAGGAGTGAAAAATGTTGGAGTGGAACCACAAAGAAGCTGATTGTGGCAGAGCATGCATGGGATCCCAGCACTCTGGGAGGCTGAGGCAGGAGGGTCTCATAGTGGAGCCCAACCTGGGCAATTTATCAACTTAGCAAAATCCTATCCTTAAATTTAAAAAGGGGTAGGGATATAGGTTAGTGCAAAGGCCCTGGGTTCAATCCTGAGTACCAAGGGAAAAAGAAAAGAGAAAGAAAAAGAAATGACAGCTGGGGATTTAGCTCAGTGGTTCTGCTGCCTGCCTTGCAAGCGCAAGGACCCAAGTTCAATCCCTGGTACCAAAAAAATATATAGAAAAAGAAATGACAAAGATGCATAAGCATCTACAGAGGTTTCTGTGTTAGATGACGAGGAGTCCAGGGCACTACTGAGCTGTGTCTGAGACCTGACTCGAGACCTGCTCCAGTTGCCGTGCCCCACCAAAGAGGTGGGTTCTGAAGTGGAAAGGGAGAGTGGAGAAGGGACAAAACCTTTCACGCTTAGAAACAGATGCGGCATTGCTTACGTGATGAGTTTGCCACACAGACATATGCATCACGGTACCCAAGAATCTACGGTTTTTAGGAAACGAAGTGAGAACAAGATTCTGCCTGCCCACCTGGAGCCTAGCTCTCTGGGAGGCTGAGGCAGGAGGATGGCAAATCCAAGCCCAGCTTGGGCTGGAGATATAGCTGACGTAAAGGGCTGGGTTCATTCCCCAGCACTTCGAAGTGAAACAAGGTTCCGAGTGGCCGGGCACTTGCCTGGGACCCTGGAAACCCTGGAAACCCTAGGTCGCATTGCCAGCACACAAAAGAAAAAACAAATACGGCCCTGATATCAAGACACATGCAGAAAAGGCCCTTCCTTCACCTGTGGCTGTCCAGGTCCTCCCCCCCCCCCCCCCGTCTTCTCCTCTCTCTGAGGTCAGCTCTGCACCGGGGGAGATTTTTTAAAGGAGCTAAATAAATACCCTGTTGGGCCGGGGATGTAGCTCAGTGGCACTGCGCCTGCCTTATAAGTGTAAGGTCCTGAGTTCGAGCCCCGCTACCAAATAAATACATAATAAATAAGGTCAACCTGTTTTCCCTTTGCAATGTGAATGCTCCTTTGTGGCCGTTATTCCTGAAGGATTTACTCTGAAATATCTTAAGATACAGAGGACCAAAAAAAAAAAAAAGGGAAAATGTTTAATTTACCTGTTAAGGCTTTAATTCAACTATCAATGAAAAATCCCTCCCATTTTTCTGCACCATTGTGCCCAAGAAAGAAAAGTTGGGACTAGGGCAGCACTATAGCACTTGCATTTTATAAAACTTCATACGAGAGAGGAAAATAATACGTGCTTTAAGAAGCTTACATTGCTATTACTGTTTTTCAGAGGTGATGGAGTTTTTTTTGTTTTTTTTTTTGAGATAGGGTCTCACTGTGTCGTCCAGATTGGCCTTGAGCTCACTATGTAGCCCAGGCTGGCCTCGAACTTGCAGCGATCCTCCTCAGCCTCCCGAGTGTTGGGATTACAAACATGCACCACCACACCTGGCTGGTCGTTACCAAGACCAAGTGTCCTACCCCCTCTCCCTCAGATCCCCAGCTCCTGTTTGTGTTATTTTATTTATTTATTTTTGGTACCGGGGATTGAACTCGGGTCCTTGCGCTTGCACAGCAGGCAGAGAAACCACTGAGCTAAATCCCTGGCCCCTGTTTGTGTCATTTTTAATACCTGAGAAAAATCATTATGATAAACTATCAGGTGAAGACAACAGAGTACTAGAGAACACTAGGCTGTCTTTAAAAATCCATAAGCAAAAATAGAAACATAGTATTTTCTGGTGTGTTATGTGTTTTGCTTATGAGTGCTTTCTGCAGTTTTAATTTTCTGAAATGGTTAGTTAGGTTTTTTAATCACCAAAGCAAAAGAGATGCTTTAAAGAACTGTATACCTCACACTAGAGTGTGTGTCCTCCGATCTTTTCCAAGCCACTTTGTAAAATCTGAGGGTTCTTGTATCTGAGAGACAACAGAACCAGATATAATAATAAGGCTCTTCTAGCTTATTGGGGAGTAATCCTTAATAATTCTGATTTATCTATCGCAGCCTCCACCATGTTCAATTTACATTTGTTCAGCACATTTATGATTTAACTCTAGATATCATTCAATCCTCAGTACTGAAAAAAAATTTTTTAACCTAATTATTTGCCAAATCTCTCTAGCTTCCTCTTATTTTTTCAATCTTAGGAACTGAAGATGATAATAAGTATAGCTGGCTGTCAGAAAATGTAAAATGTTTTCAAAAGACTTAAGAATTCAAGTGTCATAGGAGAGATTAAAAAAAAAATCACACCTCTACTTTTGAAAACAGCTAAAAATTGAAGAATCAGAAAACCACTTTAGTCCCCCCCCTTCAAAGAAAGAGCCTATATTTGTTTTGCATTCCTGTGTAAATAACTATTTGTTATCAGCAAACGTAGTTACTACTGAGAACATCTCGGTCATCGCCAGTGTATGACTAAGGAAATAAAACTGGGTGATGATGTGCGGATAGACGGGGCTCTATCGGCCGAGCCAGGAGCTGGCAGGCTGCTATCTAACTCCCAGCAGCAGCGGGCCGGGGCTGGGACGGCAAGGCTGAGGCGGCAGTGCTTGAACCCAGAGCAGCACAAGTTTGCTAAGATTATTCAGTAGGGAGCCCCTTCATCCTGGATTTGTGTAAACCGAGCACGACAGAATATGCAGCGTGAGCAGTGGGGGACCATCAGGTCCCATGTGGTAGCAGCTTTGCGTTATTGCTATTTTTTGTTAGAGCGCTGGGCATTGAACCCAGGTCGCGAGGCAAGTGCCCCACCATTGAAACATTGAGCTGTTTCAACAGAGCCCCCAAGCTCTGAATGATCACAGGTTCAATTTTTAGTTTCCGTAATGGATTTGTAGTGTTTTGGTGCATACCTTGAAAATGGAGAGAGCCATAACATTGTGGATACTTTGAGAAAAGTAAGAGGAGGACACAAATGGTTTTCTAATGTGCTGGAAAGGAAAGAAACAATCTGAGAGTGAATTTGGATGTCATCTTTTTTATGAGCAAAATGCTCACTGGTGGCTGGGCTGGTGGCGCACGCCTGTGATCCCAGCACTCAGGTGGCTGAGACAGGAGGATTGCAGTGAGTTTGAGGCCGGCCTGGACTATACAGTGAGTTCAAGGCCATGATCTGTACACTGAGACCCTGTCCAAAAAATCAACAAAACGTAACAAAACAGGGCTGGGGATTTAGCTCAGTGGGGCTGCCACCTGCCTTGCAAGTGCAAGGTCCTGAGTTCGATCTCCAGTACCACACACAGAAACACACAAAATGCATAACAAAACAAAACAAAATGCTCAGTGATATATGAGTAATGTTGCCTAAATATTAATAAGAACAACTTTATTCCAACCTTGATTTCTTTGAAGTTAAAAGAAGATTTATCTCCTTATATTAAGGATTCTATTTTATAATGCTACTATTTTTATAAAAATTACTTTATTTTTGACAATAGGATTCAACCCAGACCCTTACGGTATGCTAGGCAAGTATTCAACCACGGAACAATGCCTCAACCCCTGTAAGGATTATTTTAAGGAAAAACAACTCTGTGAAATGCTGCTGTCTCCTTAAAGATAATATTTTAGTGTACTAGGCATGAAGACACACACCAGTAATCTCAGTGACTCAGGAGGCTGAAGCAGGAGGATCGAAAGTTCTAGGCCAGCCTGGACAACTTAGCGAGACCCTATCTCAAGCAGCATAAAAAGGGCTGGGGATATAGCGCAATGTCTCCTGAGTTTAATCCTCACTACCACAAAAGTACAATAAAATCTTTAAAAACCTCAATTCTTTGAGATAGGGTGGTCTTACTATGTAGTCTAGGCTGGCCTTGAACTTGTGGGGATCCTCATGCTGGGATTACAGACTTGTGCCCCCACACTTAGCAAGAAAAGACATTGATCAGTGAGCCATCTTTCATAAATTGTCATAGTGTCTTGTAATATAAGGCAGCCACAGGGAAACAGTCAGAGACAGACAAACTATTGTTTCTGCATGACCCAAGAATACCAAAAGCTCAGTGTTTATACATATATATATATATTTAGACTGAGTTTCCATAAATTGCTCAGGCTGACCTTGAACTCATTATTCTCTTGCCTCAGTCTCCTGAGTAGCTAGGACTACAGGTATGCACATAATATATTTCCTTTTTTTTTTTTCTTTTGAGACAGGGTCTCACTCTGTAAGACAGTCTGGCTTGATCTCACTATGTAGCCCATGCTAGCCTTGAACTTGCGGTGATCCTCCTGTCTCAGCTTCCCAAGTGCTAGCATGACAGCCCTTTGCCACCATGCCCAGCTTCAAATATACTTTTTTATGACAGTTATCATGTATTGTTAGAAATAATTCTCAATTTTCTGGGGTCAGAAGTAAGGGTGGCTTCTAAAGGGTAGCAGTACTAGACACCCTCACAGGACAGAGATGACTTCAGAAGAAATAAAATTCCTATGTATACCTTCTCTTTGCTCCCTCTTAGGCCATTATGGCAGGCTTGCTTTCTCTTGGGGTATAAAGCCATAGATTTTATTTAACTGTTTGTTTATGGCATTGAAGGTTGAATACAGGGCCTTTGCACTGAGGTATCTCTCAGCCCTTTTTAAATTTTTTTTTTGGTACCTGGGATCGAACTCGGGACCTTGGGCTTGCAAGGCAGGTGGCAGCACCACTGAGCTAAATCCCTGGCCCCTTAAATTTTTTATTTTGAGACAAGGTTCACTAAATTATTGAATTGCCAGGGTTGGGCTCAAAACTATGAACCTCTGTCCGAGCCTCTGGGAGCTCTGGGATTTCAGCCATGTGGCACCAGCATGTGTGTCATTGCCCTGTTTGGGGTTCTTCTACATTTCTTTAAAGCTGTTGAAGTTCAGAGTAAATATCTGTTCCCATGGTTAAATCCAATCTTTCCGAGGAGGAGGAAATGTTTCCTGAGACTCTGACAACTTCATACTGTACCTCCTGTGTGGATTCTGCCAGGGAACTGTAATACAAATTATAGACTTAATTTCTGTAACCGGCACCAAAAAGGAAACTTCCGGCCCAGCACTTTGAATGTTCTGCCTAGGGATAACCAAGAAAGCCTTGTCGATTCTGCCTTCACCTGGGATTTCAGAATCTGCTGGGCGTCCCTGGGACCGGAAGCGCCAGGGACACCTTCTTCATGCTGGAAACGTCAGAATGCAGGAGAATGAGTGTCATCGACTAAAAATAGAAAAGAGCAAAACAGAGTAAGATCAAATAAAGAAAGCACTTTCTGTGTTTCCACGGTGCATGAAAATCCTCTAGGTAAACCCGCGGGGTGAGTGGAGCCCCGGCCACTGCTGCAGTGGGAACTCGGGCCCCCGGAAGTGCAGCGCTGAGCCTGCTCATTAAGGAATGTGGAGGCTGCCTTCTGAGTCAGCGCGGCGGTATGCAGAGCTCGGCCCTGCTTGCTGCTTACACGATGAGCGCACGAAAACTTTGGAAACAAAGCCCGAGGCTCTTGCCACTTAACGAGAGGGAAGAGATCGCGTTTATATGTGTTTTTAAACGGTTCCTAATCTTCAGAGGTTGGCTGCAGCTGGCCTTTTTTTTTTTTTTTACCAGCTGATCATATTTACAGCCTACTCTCAGATGGCACCGTGGTATCCCCAGAGATCTGACCATTTATGAGGTCGCATTTTAGGGTGTCCAGGCTTCCCGAGCCTTCTGGGACTGGCTGGAATTACACAGCGATTAAAACAACGCTGGGGCTTTTAGGTCTTACTTTCAATTTCTTGTTGGTCAAATACATGTTAATTTGTTTCATTTCAGAGGTAGTACAGGCATAGTATGGAAAATAATTAGAGAAAAACAGGAAGTAGAGAAAAGGTCATACACATCCCATTACTTTTGAAAAACAATCATTTGAAAATATAAAATTTTTGAAATGGATGCAAAAAGTAGAATAGTAAAAATAGTGCAATGAACTCCTTCATACCCAAACCCACTTCTGTAATCTCCAGATGTTTAACCACATTTGCTTCAGTTCTCTTGTTTTTTTTCTTTGCTAAAGTGTTACAAACCAGACATGGTAGTGCACGCTCTTAATCCCAGCACTCAGGAGGCAGAGAGGCAGGAGGATCGCCTTGAGTTTGAGGCCAGTGTGGGCTACATACTGAGTTCAGGGCCAGCCTGAACTACAAAGGGAGACCCTGACTCAAAAAACAAACCAACAAAAAGTAAAGTGTTATAAATTTGAATATTCTAATCTATCACGTCATTCTCCCATATGCTTCCATATACATCTCTAAATATTTCTCTAAATAATTCTGTAATAATCCAAATGGCAGTTATTACAGTGAATGAAAGTAATAAATTTATTGATATGAAAATATTCAGCCAACCCATACTAAAATTTCCTTGATAAAAAATTTTAATAGTTTTATTATACCTATATCCAACCTTTTTGCTTACTAATAAAAATATCTGCAGCATATTAAAAATATGATTGTGCATCTTGGCTTTTCCATTGGCTAGTATAACTATTTTCCAGTGGTTTCTTTTTCAAACTTCAAAAAATAAAGTTCTGCCAGGCATGGCGGCACACACCTATAATCCCAACACTTCAGAGGCTGAGGCAGGAGGATTGTGAGTTCAAGGTCAGCCTGGGCTAACAAAGCAAGACCCTGTCTCCAAAAAAAAAAAGTTCTAATTTAAAAATGGGTGTTTGCAACAGTGTAGGGATAACTTGGATGATTAATCATTCCTATATTTGTCTCTCCGCACACATTAGTGAGAGTGTTTGTGTGTATTTTCTTCTCCTTTTAGTAAATCTTGTTGCCATGAGTAAGTATCTTTGCTCATAACACCTTTTCCTTGTTGAGGACTTTTCTTAGGATTAATTCCAGGAGTATTCTTGCTATAATCAACATCTGAGCATTTGCAGGGCCCTGGACTAGTCTCCCTGAGTTATTTACAAAGGGACTGTACTGTTCACCCTCCCACTCACAAAACCCCAGCGAGCCCCTACTAAGATGTTTAAAGGCAGGCTTTTCCCGAGCTCCTGTGTATCACTGGCTTTAAGAGGCTTTGTTTGTCACATGGTCATAATCATCTCAAAATAAATAAATATACTTTTTTTTTGGTACCAGGGATTGAACTCGGGACCTCGTGCTTTCGAGGCAGGCGGCTGAACCCTGGCCCAATACTCATTTTCTGTAGCCATAAAAACATGGCATGCGCACACTGCCAAACAACCACAGAGGAGCTCTGATTAAAGGAGGAAACTGGCGACTTGCTGAAAATGTGGTAATGAGTTTTCACTCCTCCCCGAGGGGGAGGCCGCCAGCCCTCCTGCCTCCCTGCCCTTCCTAAAGAAGGTAGCAGGGCTAGGTCGGCCTTCTCTTCCTCTTTGTTTTCTTCTTCTCCTCCTTCTTCTACTTCTCCTTTTTTAAGCAGAATAATTTAATTTATTTACACATGACAGAGTTGGTGCTGCACAAAATACTGTTGACAACTCAGCAAACTAGGGCCAGGGATTTAGCTCAGTGATTCTGCTGCCTGCCTCGCAAGCACAAGGTCCTCAGTTCGATCCCCGTACCAAAACAAAACAAAACCTCAGCAAACTTAGGGATTCCTGTAAATGAAGCCCCACCGTGTGGGGTAACCGGGATGAGGACACAGCCATTTTAGTGACGGCTACCAGACCTCAAATAAAACTGCGTATTTCTGTCCATAGCACTTACTTTCTTTGAAGGAGTACACCCCCTGGGTTTTCTTTCAACCATTTTGATTTGGAGAAGTTTATATGTCAGATTTTTTTTTTTAAAGGCAGGGAGAAAGAAAAACTCATTAGCGCTGTGTTTATGAGAGGGGAGGAAAGGAACTGATAAGAAAATACTTAGCAGAATGGCTCTTGGTTCTTAAAAAGCCTAGCATCCTAATTTTTAACTCCTTTTTCTTTCTTTTGGAAAAAGTTCAGGAAAGGTGGTCTGTCTCATTGTCATGTTTTTGTCCCTCTCAGTGATGTAAAGGTTATTCCTCAAAGCAAATGGGAACAAAACATAATCTCTTAGAAATATTTTTAAGAGGATAGGCTGGCTTGGTCTTTGTAAAAATATGTCAACAAAATGTGCTAACCACATTCTTTTTTTCTTTTTTTTTAAAAAGCTGTCAAAGGAACCAAAGGAATTAGATAAAGCAAAGGGCTGTTTTGGAACGAGAAAGGGAGCAGAGAGAATTCTGGTTTATGCCAAGTGCCAGGCAGTATTTTAAGGCTCCAGGTGATGAACCCATTTCATCCCCAGAGCCAGGAGCCCGTGACAGGTTATCCTTTCCCCGGACAGGTGAGGCAGGGATGCCCAGGATTTGAACCTGGGAGGGCCCTGCAGAATCTGGCTCACTTCCGGTCTGGGAGAAAACCGTTGAACGAAAGCTCGAGGGTTCAGGTGGGGAAGGACGCTGGGCAGGCCAATCGCGAGCCTAAACGTCTTTCTAGTGCGCTGGGCAAGGGTGTGGCCCCCACCGCCCCTCGCCCGGCTCAGTCCAGTCCTGGGCGTGGGCTGAGCGCACACCTGACCCGGCGCATAAATTCGCTTCCCACGGCTGCGGGCCTCACCTTGGCCTGCCTCCTCCCGAGGCCTGGTAGGGCCTGCACCTCGCGGAAGATGTCCCAGGGTTCCCCGGCCTTCCCCGAGGATTTCCCCATCCAGGTATGGTCTTTGAAGAATTCCACTTGTTTTGCCTGCCTTGGGCGATGGGGCTGATGATTCAGCTAGTCTGCATTCTGCAGAAGGCAAATCCGGCTCCAGAGTGGATTCTCGTCTTCACCTGCCATATGGACCCCGCTTCTCCGCCCCGCACTGGGTAGGGAAGCGTTTGTGGGGCCCCACCTGGTTTGGGAGGGCTGGTAAGCCCGAGGGTGGGCCGTTAAGCCCGAGGTTGGCCCGTGGCCTTTATGACGTTAGCATGCCGTAGTCCAGGCCTTCTAGGTGTCAGACCCTCCCAAGCCTCGTACAGTGTCCCTGAGGGCCGACCTCCCCTCTGTGGGGACCAGGCAGAGTTGGTTGGGGTGGCCCTGCTGGGTGGGAAAGCTTCGTGTGGACCCAGAGAACCGGTGCCTGTGGGTTTTGGAACTGGATCTGGACTAGAAGACCTACCACCTTATTCAAGTCGTAGAAGTTAGTAAGAAAGTTAACCTCAAATGGCCCATTTTCTCATCTGTGAATGGATTTATTTACTGTTGTTTGTTATTATTATATTTTGCAGTTCTGAGACTCAACCCCAGGCATTCATATTGAATTATGTCCTTTGCCATTTCATTTCAGTGTATTTGCTTTAATTTTTTTTTTTTTGAGATAGATTCTTGCCAAGGCTGAACTCAAATTTGTGACCCTCCCGCCTGAGTCTCCGAGAGTGCTGGGATTATGGGCGAGCACTACCCCACCCAGCAGCTATTGTTTTGGCTTGGTTTTTGAGACTGGGTCCCACTGTTTAGCTCAGGTTGGCCTAGAATTTGCAATCCTTCTGCTTTAGCCTCCTGGTGCTGGGATTACAGGCGTGCGCCACCACGCCCAGCTTCTAAGTGGATTTAAATATGAGTTATTGTGAGAACTAATTAACCCATGATATAAACCAGATGTGGAATTGAGACTGAGACTCAGGCCCATAGCATGGACTTGATAAATTGCTCTATTTTCTCCCCTGATCCCTTTACTTCTTACTATTAGCATTGTTATTGTAGAAGTGACTTAAAAATTGGATGCATTTTAGGGCCAGGGATTTAGCTCAGTGGTTTTGCCACCTGCTGCGCAAGTGCAAGGACCCAAGTTCGATCCCTGGTACCAAAAAAAAAAAAAAAAAAAAAAAATTGGATGCATTTGAATACGAGTGATTTCAGCAAAGGTGATTATTTGGGTTACTCTTGTGGGCATGCTCTTGCTATATCCATAGTTCAGTAAGTCACTTAACTCAATGAGGCTGGGTGTGATGGTTCAGATGCTTGTAGTACTTCAAGTTACTTGGGAAGCTGAGACAGAGGGATTTTAAATTCACACAAATTTGGCACAAACCTGTAATCCCAGCATTCAGGAGGCTGAGGCAGGAGGATCACTGAGTTCCAGGCCAGTGTGGACTACATAGTTCAAAGCCAACCTGAACTAGGTAGCAAGACCCTATCTTGAAAAAAAGAAAAAAAAAAAAGGACTTGATAGTTCAAGGCTAGTCAGAGCAATTTAGTAAGAAAGACCTCGTCTCAAAAATTAAATAACAAAGGGCCAGGGATTTAGCTCTGAGGGGCCGCTGCTTGCCTTGCAAGTGCAAGGTCCTGAGTTCAATCCCAGGTTAAAAAAAAAAAGAAATAATAATAAAAAAAGGGCTGGGTACCTAGCTCAGTGGTACAATGCTTGCTTAGCATGTTTAAGTCCTGGGTTTGATACTCAGCAATGCAAAACCAAAACAAAACGCCCCATATATGTGCAGTGGAGTGAGAAGTAACTGTATGAGTGAATGAAAAATCGAGGGAGCATATTTATGTAATTGAATAGAACAGCTGAAGTTTGGATCGCCTCCTTCTTCTGTGCTGGCATCGTGACCCGGTGGGAGCGCCCTTCCCTTTTCTGTACCAGGGAACAGGACGAATGCACCCTTCCTGGGCTCTGCAGAGACAGTGGAGGTTGGGGAGGGTGGCTGAGCTAGGGAAGCCTGGAGGGGGAGTGAGTCGGAGGACGGGCCGGGGCGCCTGGCTGCGGATTGATTTTTGCACGGCTGTGTCTGGGCAGTGTGAGAGAGAGGGTGAGCGTCGGCCCGGGAGAGGAGGCGTACACAGCGGTGATCAAATGGTGATCAATTCTATTTCTCGTTTTCTGTTCCCCAGGGTATTTTACACAGTTTGTAGTTATGTTTAAAAATTCTTTATTAATTCTTGTACCTTTTTTTTGGTACCGGGGATCGAACTCGGGTTCTTGCGCTTGCGCAGCAGGCAGCGAAACCACTGAGCTAAATCCCCGGCCCTCTTTATTAATTCTTACTTGGAAAAGCCTAAGCGTGTCTCTGTATGGGGTACAGTGCCATGTTGCCATCCAGGTATGCACAGGCGTATGATTCAGTCAAGCAGATTAACATTCATCACCTCCCGGGGCCTGGGGAAGAAGTCCCCGAGATGCCCAGGCTGCTCCTGAACTCCCAGGCCTGCTGCAGCCTTTCAGAGTGCTGGGTTGGCCTGTGCCGCCATGCCTAGCTACTCTAGACCTCTCCGATACGACTGTTCTTAGATGGCACATGTTGGGGAGATCATGCAGTATTTGACCTTTTATGCCTGGTTTATTTCATGTAATTACATGTTTATAACAACTTTTTTTTTGGTAGTGGGGATTGAACCCAAGGCCCTTGCACTGAGCTACATCCTTAGCCCTTAAAAAAGAATTTTTTTTTTTGAGACAGGGTCTTGCTATGTAGCCCAGGCTGGCCTGGAACTAATGGTGATCCTCCTGCCTCAGCCTCCCAAGTGCTGGGATTACAGGTGTGCACCACCACACCTGGCCAAAATTTTTTTTTAAATGTTGAGACATCTCCCTGAGATGGCAGATTGCCCAGGCTAGATTGAGTTTGTGATTCTCCTGCCTGCCTCAGATTCCCAGAGTGCTGTTATGCAGGCATGTGCTACCATAACTGGCAAGCAACTGATTTTTCATTTTATATGTAAAACTGTGTGTTATGTGTAAAACATATAAAATGATCAAAACATTTAGCTACCCCAAACTGTCCTGATTCTTTGGCACATTAAAAAATTACCAGCATTTATCTAGAATCATGTCTCAAAATGAAAAATAAAAAAATAGTTGGGGATGTAGGATGGCATGGTGGCCCTCAGTTCAATCTCTAGTACTACAAAAAAAATTGGTATGAGTCTTCCCTATTTATTTATTTATTTATTTATTGGTACCGGGGATCGAACTTGTGTCCTTACCCTTGCGTAGCAGGCAGTGAAACCGCTGAGCTAAAGCCCCGGCCCCTCAATTTTTTTTCTTTTTGGTACCAGGGATCAAACATGGGACCTTGGGCTTGCGAAGCAGGTTCCAGAACCACTGAGCTAAATCTCTGGCCCCCCCTCAATTTTTATTTACACATTTATATAAATATTTTGTATGTGGTTTTGCCTCTTTACGTACAGTGTGCACCTACATAAACAGTTTGCACACTTACATGTTTCCTTCAGAAGACGTGTGTGCTTACAAACAAAAGTAGCATGGTTTCTGTGGATCAATTTTATTTTATTTTTCTTTTTGGTGCCGGGGCTCGACCTTGTGCTTGGGAGGCAGGCCATGGCACGACTGAGATAAATCCCTGGCCCTGTGGATCAATTTTAGTAATCTCTCCCCAGGAGAGCAAGTGACACTATTCATTGCTTCCACCTGCTGTTCTAAAACTTGTCTATTCTGTAGTTTCTGTGGCCATTTTCCTTTCGATGAGTCTGTAGTTGTTTCAAATTGCTGAGTATTATCAACAGTGCTGCAGTGGGACTTCCTCAAGTTGCCTCTCTGTGCACATGGGTGATCATTCTCTAGGGTAGATACTGTTACTCGATACCGATCTGTTTATTTGTGTTTGAATTTTGCTAATGTCTGTTAGGTCAAAATAGAAGCTCCAGGAGGGTAGGAATCAGATTTGTTTTGTGCCTCACTCTAATGATGACTTAGCCAAGTTGCTTGGGAAAAAGGAGTGATCAGGACCTGTTTAGTGAGTGAATCCGGCTGAAAGGTTGGCTGGGGTCCTGCTTTGTTTTATATCCTGGGATTCTGAAAATGAACTATGACTTTGGTGACACAGGAGATTTTCATACAGGGCAGCCTCAGGATGGTTGTTAGTTGGATCTAGGAAAGAATACTGTGGGCTACAAAGAAGACAGGCACTGGAGAAAGGCATGAGATCGAACGCAGGTCAGAGAAGACAAGACAAGGCTGATGGGACCCGAAAGGAAAAATGTATTTGAGATGTACAGGAATGGCAGGACCTGCAGGGTTTGCTAACTAATTAGCTTTGAGGGGCACGGTGAGGAAGGCATGGAAAGAGGAGCATATCTAGGGCCAGGGATTTAGCTCAGGGGTGCAGCCACCTACCTCAAAAGTGAAAGGTCCCGAGTTAGATCTCCGGTAACAACAACAAAAAGGAATAGCATATCTAGTACAGCATACTTTAATTTTAGAAGCATTTATTGCCTCTTAGCAACATGCAAAAAGTACCGTGCTAATTCCTGCGAGGACAAACATTTGTGTGACCTTCCCACTTTCAGGGGAGCTTTGCAACCTGCTGGAGCAGAGGGAGGTGGAAAGGTACAGCTGCAACTCCAAGGGTGCAGGTCGGGTGAGCTGGAGAGGGGTGGGGAGGGAGCCAGCCCGCCTCAGGGTAGAGTTTTAGGACTCAGAAGATTCAGATTGGCAAGGGAGCTGGGGTTCCACGGGGTTCACCTTGAGTTCACCTTGGGGTTCCAATGGCCCATTGGCTTCAGTGTAGTCTGGAAAGTGGGGAATAAAGTGTGAGCTGTATAACCTCAGGTGGATTACTGGACCAGCCTGAGCCTCAGTGTCCTCTTCTTTTTAAAGAAAGGGATGAAGGCTGGTGAGAGTAGGCCTGGCCAGCGTCAGGCTCAGCTGCTGGCGGCAGCTTTGAGCCCATGATCACACTTGTGGCACCGGCAGGGTCGACAGCGTAGCTTGAAGTGAAAAGACCTCAGCTCTTGGGGAAGAAACACTTGAGGTTCAGTGTTCTTTCAGTTTTTCTTCCATTTCCTTTCCAGCCTCCCAGTGCTCTTGGGAGTTAATCCACAGCCTTCACATGGCCTGCCAGTATCATGATTGGTATCAGGGTCCATTGCTTTCAT